CGGAAATTCCCATGTCTGAAACATGATAAGGTTTCTTCCTTTCACATTTGAGCATCCAGAGAAGCCTCAATCACACTTTTTCAACATTCAACAAATGGTTAATTGATTAAGGCATTTAAAAGTGATATTCGTTATCTTCTTAAAATCGAATATTTTTGCACCAAACCAAGGAATGGATAATAATTGGAAAAAAACCCCTATAAATAATAGTTTATGATATCATAGCCTACATAAAATAAGGGCCAACATCCTAAAGGGCAAAAAGGATGATATATAATGGTAAGAACTGTAATTTCAACCTAAACAATAAAGAAACAATATATCTAAGGCTACTTAACCATTACTTGATAGCCTACCCTCATCTCTTGTCATTTTTAACCCAATTCTGTAGAGCTAACTGCTGGTTTAACTTTCCAAAGGGAAGGACAAAATGGTCCGAACCCTAGTTTTTTTGGTTAGGTTTAAGAGTGATTATTGGTTAAACCTTCTTCTTTTTATTTGATTTGAAACCATCATCTTTACTTCGCTTCTTACTGCTGTGATCTTTTTCTTTCCTCTTCCCTTGCTTCTCGGCCTTGGTTTTATTGGATTTTACACTTACAACTCCGCCTGAGGGAATTTTTCCACCACCACTTTGCAAAGCACCGGCAAGATCAACTTCTCCGTCCACAATGGCATATTGTTGCAGCATCCCAACATCTAACAATCCCTCATTATTCATTTTCATTTTTTCCTGCAAATCAGTTCCACCAAAGACTTGGTTTAGAAAATAAGGGAATAAGGCACGTTTTGGTAACGAGTTTGTATTTTGTTTTCTGATTTTTTCACTTTTTGTTTTTGTTTTTGTTTTTTTTTTATTAGAATTTTTTTTACTATTTTTCACCTTTCTTAAAAATACAATTGAATTCTTAGTCAACTTCTAAGATTTAAGATTTTTTTTAATACTGTTTCTTTTAAAAAAGGGCTTAAATTTTGAAAACAAAAAGAAAAAGGTAGTAACAAAACTGTGTTTGTGGAAATAGTGTTTTTACCTTAACTTTTAAAAAGTGAAAACCAAAAGACAAAATAGTTATCAAATGGGACCTAAGTGTGCGGTAAAAAAGGAATGAATCATACCTCAACTTGTTTTGCAGCTTCATGGAGATCATCATCCACAGTGATTTCATGGGGTTCCATTGGAATCTGCACGTAGAGTCAAGTAATTGTAGCACTAGATATACCATTATTCTACTAAAAAACTTAAGACCTTGATAGTTTCAAATTTACATAAATCTTTTATTTCCATAGGAAGTCACAGCCAGGAATTAATTCCCAGAGATACTAAAACTTTACCTCTCTCATACGTGGCATGGTCGATTCTATCTCCTTTGACGCAATTCCATAAAGATACTTGTGGAACTTTTTCATGACTTTAATAAAAAGTGACAGTATCTGTTGCCTCTCCAACTTCATTTGTCCCTGTACAATTAACAGCTTCCAAAATTGATACTTAACAAGAATCCACCTCCCCCCCCCCCCAAAAAAAAGAAAAAAAAAAAGGGTGGGGGGCGGGTAAATAAATTCCACATGACACATTTTACACAAAAATAAGGCTGCCTATTTGAAACATTTAGACAGATTGATGAATTTTATGGTCAAAATAGATTTGAAACAATCCTAGATCGAACCTCAATAGAAGTAACATCCCGTGACTGCAGTCCACTACAGAGCAACACAGATGTCTGTGCGTACGACAAAGTAACTGGAAGTTTCTCCATGAAATATAATTGTGCAAGTAATGGAACAATATCTAGTATCTGTAAATCAACAGAAAAAGAATATTAATTGCTTTGTCATGTTATGGTTTAGTATGCATAAATTAGTTTGCAAACAAAAAATCTCATGACCTTTCAACACTATGATAAATGTTTAATAGGTTGATACAGAAACTAACATTGGTAGAGAGTGAAGGTGGGAGAGAATGAGAAGAATATGAAAAATCAACTTTTTATTTCCAAATAGGTATGTTAATTACATAAAATTGGTTTAAATTTTCAAAGTACAACTCCAAACTGTTACTGAACTGGAACATAAGCGCACTAATCTATTTTTATAATCAAACTAGCATGATGATGCTAGAGTATGAACTACAGTCTCAATAAACTAGAGTGGATCATTCCCAGAAGAAAAAAAAGGTGCACTTAACCCTTACTGGTAACATGAGTATGGAAGTATGGAATCTGTTTCTACATTGGTGGAACACATACATACAGGAGAGAGATGGGGTATGACAATCTTACCAAGTGGAAATCAGCAAGATTGTCTGCATAGGCTTCCAATCGCTTCATATCATGGGCTGATATGAGAAATCTGATTGCATTTAAAAATTCTTCTATGGTATCCTCGGAAGGATCTAGTTCCGAGAAGTTGATTTTTGGATCCAAGACACTGGTGGATTTCAAATTGAGTTATCAATTGAAGAATAAAAATGCATATAGTAGGTAACTAAATATACTGACCTCATTGCTAGCTTATATTCCATTCCACGAAAACTAAAACCCAAGAGTCTAATGAACCTTAACCTGAAATCTGTGGATCATAAACATAGAATCAAATATCACAAATAGCACCGGAAATAGCATTTCTAAAATGTCTAAACTCACCTTGGTAAAACGGACCAAAAAAGCCCCACTGAGCAGATTCGTTAGCTTCAATTTCATCATTGTTCAAAGGCTTCAAGACCATGCATGTATGCTCACCCGTCACAGTACTCTTAATTCATGAAATAGAGAAAAGGAAAGTATCAGACACTACCTAAAGAGTATACTTTTCATCAACGTAAAATCTAGAGTGCAACTCAACTGGAATCTGGCCAATGTAGAATGGGGCAAATTTATGCCTCCTCCAAAAGCGAAAAAGATCTAAAGTGAGTCCAAAGGATACACCAATATAATGAAGCTTCTCAGGTCGTCGTTCACGAAGAGATACCAGCAGGGGAGGAAGATTAGTTCTAGGCTTTACATTTTCTTTCAATAATGAAACCTGCATGCACGATATCTAGGTGAGGCTAAAATTGTAATAGTCTAGATAAACGTAAAAACATACGAATACTGTTGTGCAGAAAACTGCTGGATTTCACCGCCCATAACGAAACTAACTGGTGAAAATACATCAGTATTTTAGCAATTTGTAATATTTCTTTATTTTTTCAGAAACAAAAAACACTTGATAAATAAATTGAAATTAGACTCAAATTTATAATTATTCTTTAAAAGAAATGAAGAAAGTATATTAGATGGTAAAAGAATATATGGATTTAGATAGGCTAGAAGTTCTAAGAAATGAGGCAAAGGTCAACAATGACAGTAACAATGTTCCCATATGTTTCTGTAATCTTTGGGATATCTCATCTCCCCTTCTTTTGTATTAAGTCCCTTCTGGCTCTTTTCATGTAATTATATATGAATAATTAAATATATAAAGATTGCATAAAGTTAAATGGTGGCAAACACAAAGAGCAAACAACTCTTAACTTTCCATTTTTAATTAATATGCTTCAAGAAGAGAATATTTATAATTATTCGACCTTCTCTGCAGCTTCAGTAACCCTGACATGCTCAACGTCCTCATCTGAAATTTCGACTTCAGTAATAGGAGCAAACTGACCTTCAAAGTATCTGGTACACAGTGCATAGAAAGGTTTAAGTAATATAAAATGGGGAAAATGAGTGCGGACCCTTTAAAAGTTAGTGGTGCCTTCTTGATGTAGTGAACTATGGGGTAGTTTGGTAATTTCATTAGAGTTTACCATGCCGTTCGTAATTGGATTTTACTTAGTTGATTACTCTAGAGGAGCAACCAAAAGAGTCTGCAAGATAAAGCCTAGCAAAAAACTTACAAAATTACTGGAAGAGGCTTCAACTGTCCAAGCGACATGATTCAATAATAATGTCTCAAATAAGAAGTGAAGCAATATGTCCTCTTAATGATTATGCATTAAATACTTCCTTTTCTTAGATAAGAAACAAACTTTTCAAGGAAGTGAATAATATAATCATCCTCCCAAGCATCAAACCAAGTGACATGATTTGGAGTTGCAGTTTAGAAGAAGATTTTTAGCCAAAGTAGTTTATGCGTGGGTGGTTTTTAAGCAGCAGGCTGGATGCTGTCCATATTTCCCTTTCTAAACGTTGGAGCCACACTTCACTTTTTCTGTCAGCTCCCTTTTTCAGTTGCTCATCTTGAAAGAGGTTCCCACCACAGATGTGTCAGACAATTTAAAGATCTAAGCTTCACACAAAGTCGGGTTTATCTATCGTCCAACATGTGCGTTCTTTGTTCTCAGAGTGCCAGCTTACTTGATGGTTATGGTGGAAGCGCTTAATCTTTTATGGTTTCAGCTTTATTTAGTCGAATAGCTTGAAACATTTCATCTTCTAAGTACTACGTGATCAGAAGTTTTAAGACAAGAATATGATCTGTGGGTTACATTTTTTGGGATGAGGTTGGAGCAAACCAAACGAATTTTCAACGGTGTAGATTTTTCTAGTGAACAAGTTCAACACCTACTCACTTTTGTAGGCTCTTCATCGGCTTCTCTCTCAAATAAGATAAAAACTATTCGATCTTTTTGATGATAACCAGTTGGCTTTTGTTGGCTTGGGCCTTTCTATCAATGAAATTTGTTTCCAATTAAAAAAACTTAATCTAGATATAGGCATGGATTCTGGATCTTCAAATTTTCTTTCTTTTTCCTTCTCGGACAGTTCTAGAATCCAGAAAAAGAAATATTCAAGTTTATTCCAAACTTCTGATTGTTAAACGGATCAAGATTGTAAAATAAAACTTGCATACCTGGTCAAAAGTTCTACTGCTTGTGATCCATATCCAAGCTACAACAATAAAATTGCAAGATTATAAAGCTTACACAACTTGGATGAGGACACTTGTAAAGCATAGACAGTGCATTACCCTCATGGCACTCGGATGGGTTGCAATTCGAACTATTCGAGCACCAGAAAGACTGGGAAAATTTGCTTCCCGAAACTGTTCACAAAATTTCCATGGTATCTGGTCCCCGAAGGGTTGGTGACCAGCGCTCAAGCTTTTCATTGCAGATTTACGTGAGATTTGTCCTTCAAGGGAAACCTAAACGAAGGAGAAATGAAAATAATTTTGAAATTATAAGCATAGGAATAATGTCAAAATTTTAGATATCTGATACAGGCGTGCATAAATTTCAGACAACCAAAATCCATTTGGGGGGAACAAAAGCTAACATCAACTACGAGACAGGGAGGTGGGTCTATTACATCTACAATTTCTCAAATTCTAATTTGATTCCATTTAAAAAGAGTCGGGTTTACCACAGATTCTAGAACACGGCTGGCAGGAATCCCAACTCTAGAATGACTATCTAGACTTTTGCAACAAGCATCTAAGTTCACTTCAAAATTCGTTAACAAAAAGGGCAACCATTTGAGTGCCATCTGCCATATGGTAGACTTTTGCAACATTTGCTATCTTCTTAGGGGACTTCTTGTACTCTAAAACCGTTCTAATATATATATATATATATATATATATATATATATATATATATTTTAATAAGAAACCACGTTTTCACCGAGAAGAAATGAAAGAATATACAAGGGTATACAAAATCAAGCCCGGCAAAAGGAGAACCGCCTATAATAAACCGTTCTAATATTATTCATCATACTCATGGATTTCCGTTCCATTCTGACAAAAATAAAAATAAATATCTGAGAATAAATTGGGGGTGCACTTATCCAGTAGCTTTACAATATATTCACACAAGGATCGTGGTCAGGTAGATATCAACCTGAATGACGCACAAAATATCTGGAAGTTGATTACTGGTTTCATCAACAGGGCCTGCATTTGCACTGTCAGTAAAAACCAGATGGTCGCGAGCAGGTCAATATACAACAATGCAAGACATTCACATACCAAGCAAAACAAACAAATGGTGTGCTGGGGCATCTGCCATAAGTTGCAAGTCGTTGGGAGAGTTCTTGTAGTGAGAAGCAACATAAAGCGCCATCATTCGCTGCAAATATCAGAGTATAAGAAAATATGTAGGCACCGTATAATATTAATTCCAAGTCTCCAACTAACATCCAACCACGAAATATTGATCAATCTTACTATACAACATCAAATTACCTGCAAAAACAGCTCACTATCTTTGTGATAGGAAAAGAGTGTGTCTCGATTTACATAGTAGAGGTCACACTCATTTGGTGGAGGTAATCTATTC